TTTTTTTTTTTTTTTTATGACAATCTTTACTGTCACATTTGGTTTGTGATTTATTTTTAGACATAATGTATCATGGCATTTTTGATGATATTATTATAAGATGTGAGACAACATTTTTATGATAATTTTGGTACAGACTTCTCATTTTTGTGATATTTCTATCAACATACTATACTCTAACATTTTTATATTTTTTGACACATAGTGTACTATGACATTTTTTAGAATGTTTTCAAAAACAGTATTATTGACATTTGCATGATATTTTATCAGCATGCTACACTACGACAGTTTTTCTGATATTTTCATCTACATATTATACTGTGATTTTTTTTGACAATATTTCTGTCGACAAACTATATTATCACTTGTTTTGTGATATTTTGATTATACTATATTATGACATTTTTGTGACATTTTTATTGACATACTGTACTATGACATTTTTGTGATGTTTTTATCCACATACTATACGATGACATTGTTATGGTATTTTTATCGACATACTATACTATGACATTTATGTGACATTTTATCAACATACTATACTATGACATTTTTGTGATGTTTTTATCGACATACTATACATATGACATTTTTATGATATTTTTATCCACATACTTTACGATGACATTTTTATGGTATTTTCATCGACATACTATACTATGACATTTATGTGACATTTTTGTGATGTTTTTATCGACATACTGTACTATGACATTTTTATGGTATTTTCATCAACATACTATGACGTTTTTATGATATTTTTATCGACATATTATACTATGACATTTTTATGATATTTTCATCGACATATTATACTATGACGTTTTTATGACATTTTTATCAACATACTGTACTATGACATTTTTATAACATTTTCATCGACATACTATATTATGACATTTTAATGACATTTTCATCGACATACTATACTGTGACATTTTATGACATTTTCATCGACATACTATACTATGTCATTTTTATGATATTTTTATCCACATACTACACTATGACTTTTTTATGACATGTTCATCGACAAACTATAGTATGAGGTTTTTATCATATTTTCATTGACATACTATTCTATGACGTTTTTATATTTTCATCGACATACTATACTGTGACGTTTTTATGACATTTTCATCGACAAACTATAGTATGAGGTTTTTATCATATTTTCATTGACATACTATACTATGACATTTTTATATTTTCATCGACATACTATACTGTGACGTTTTTATGACATTTTCATCGACATACTATACTGTGACATTTTTATGACATTTTCATCGACAAACTATACTATGACATTTTTATGATATTAATATAGACATACTATACTATGACATTTTTATGACATTTTCATCGACATACTACACTATGACATTTTTATATTTCATCAACATACTATACTATGACATTTTTATCGTCATACTATACTATGACGTTTTTTGTGACATTTCTATCGAACATACTATACTCTGACATTTTTGTGACATTTTTATCGAACATACTATACTATGACATTTTTGTGGTGTTTTTATCGACATGCTATACTATGATGTTTTTGTGATATTTTTATCCACATACTTTACTATGACATTTTTGTGATATTTTCGACATACTATACTATGCCATTTTCATCGACATTCTATACAATATTTTAATATTTTTTTTCGACATACTGTTGTATGACGTTTTGCTGCTATTTTTATCGACATACTATACTATGACGTTTTTGTCATATTTTTATCGACTTACTATACTATGACATTTTATTATCATTGCATACCTTTCTCTGATATTTTTTATATTATTATTATTATTATTTTCATGATCATTAGACACTTCATAATATTTGTATAGCATAGTGTAATAGAACATTTGTATATTTTTATGACATACTTTACTTTGATTTTTGTTATATATATTTTTTTGACCTATTATACTATGACAAATTCTAACATATTTCTTTAACCGTCTCTACTATGACAATTTGGTTACATTTTTTAAACATATTACAGTGTAACTTTTTCAAGGCATTCTATTTGTCGTAATTTATATTATATACATGTATATTACACCACTACCATTACTACTACTTATAATAACATTAATACATTACACTTTATTGAACAAGAAAGTTTATTTTGCATGAAAAAAGTATGCTTTAAAAAACACTATTAAAAAGAAAAGGACAACAAGAGTCAAAATCGATTTAATATGGGTCACAGGCCTGATAAAAAATCGTGGAAAACATTTGGAGATTTCTAGTTTGAGAGAAACAGCTCCTGTGCAACACAATTGCTTCATTTCTTGTGAATCACTAAAATCAGTTTATCAGATTGGTCAATTGAAAAGGAAAACAAAATGCAGTCCATTCATGAAACACAGAATTCATACATAGAAATACATGCTGCACTCACATAAATCTGTGGCGCAAAGTTCAGCAAAACACATGGAACACAAAAGATTAAAGAGTAACAAGTACTGTACAGTCAGTTTAAAAAAGCATCAAGTTTAACCACAAGTTTGTCATATACTGCATGTGACTGCTCATTAATGTGTATACAAGTTGTTTTTTTTTACAATTTCAAATGAAAAACAAAAACTATTTGGTGGCAGCAAAAAATGTTATTATTAATGCTAAAGACATTTCACTAAATAGTTTGTCACTTTTTACAGTTTGGAGATACTGCTTTGAAATGACTCAGAGGCATTTATGTTCAACACGACTGAACAGGTATTGCATGAGGAGAATGTAACCTCTATCTGGAAGTCATGCAGAGATAGTGGATCATGGAGTGCAGGATGAGAGTGATTAAATTGTTAAGTGTTGTGAATGTAGTGGCAGTAATGGTTTCAGTGAGCACCAAGTTGCACCATTTGAGTTTGCTAAAAGTTGCTTTCTCTCACAGCACTTCAGAAGAACAAGTAAAATTCATGAGAACAACGGCATCTGTCTTCGTCTCCTTTCCTTCCTGTCACTATGAGTGTGATTATGCGCACCTCTGACGCCTTATCGCTTCACTCTTGTGCTGTGGTTTGTGGTAAAAATCTTCATGTTAGAAAACCCTTTTGTTTCACTTCTCATACATACATCACTTATTTATAATGCAGATTAACATGTTTTAGTATCTTGAAAACATCAAAAGTCTTGACTGAAGAGTTTGAGAGATCAGTTACAGTTTGTGTGTCAGAGTGATACCTGGGTCAAAAACATCATCATCGGTTTACAACAACTAACTAACAAAAGTATTGTTTTTAAATTGCAGCAGCATTGTGCCTCAACCCAAAGACTTCTTTAAGTTTAAATATGATATTGAGGTAAGCACCATACAAGTTTGTTAAGCTCCCTGTCACTAACGGTGAATGATTTCCATGATCTGCACAAATTCATGCTGTTGAGTCAGTTGCAGTAAAGCTTTGTGCAGCTTGCAGAGTGGACAGGTCACATTTCAATATACAGCAGTGGCCATCTTCATGGCGCCGAACTATTCACAATCTAAAGCCATTCAGATACCTGGTGTACAATGATGGAAATGAAATCATTGCTTCAGCTGTAAATAGTCTTAATATGTAGAGTCAACAGTTTGTCGAGAAAGTCTGGATCTGAAGGCGTCTGTGATTGGCTGCTGATGGTTGTTTGAGATACAGTTTTGGAGAGAGGTGATCAGGGGTTCGGCTCCTCCGCAGGAAATCACAACCGATTCTGTTTGAGCCTGTCGATGTGGTAACAGAGTTTAAGAGCAGGTCCCAGCTTCAGTCCCAGATACTTCATCATCATCTCGCTTTTCAGCAGGAGCAGAGCATCTCCGTCTATCTCCTGAAACCAATAAAAAAACATGTGACATCTGCTGATTTAAATAGAGCAGTTGTTGAAGTTCCCTGCCTAAGAACCCAGAGCATGCTGGGATATAAAGCTGTGTTCCAATACATTTGGTATGACAGTATGACTCTGGACTCACATGCTTCCTGAATGCATCAACGTGGGGTCCCAGGGCTTGGGGGTCAGCATCTTTGATGAACCAGATGACCTCCTCCACTCCCCACCTGGACGGGTCCTTACCAGCAGGACGCTTGCACTCTCCAGAGTCTGGCATCGAACTGTAAGCTACTGTAGGGAACACAGGGGAACAGGAAAGGAAAGATGCTTAACATAATGGGAATCCAATTAAGCAAACAAACAAAACAACAAGACATTTGAAGTCTTATAATGCCACAAGATTTTACTTCCACAGCATCAATTTTGAACTTAAAGGAATAGTTTAGGGTTATATCACAAAAACGTCATAGTACAATAGATCAATTGAAATATCATCAAAATGTCAAAGTATAGTATGTCAATTGAAATATCATAAAAATGTCATAGTATAGTATGTCGAAAAAAAAAAAATCACAGAAACGTCATAGTATAGTATGTCAACAAAAATGTCATAGTATAGTATGTCAAAAAAAATCACAAAAACGTCATAGTATAGTATATCGATCAAAATGTCATAAAAATGTCATAGTTTAGTATGTCAACAAAATATCTCAAAAAAATGTCACAGTATAGTATGTCCAAAAAAAAATCACAAAAACGTCATAGTATAGTATGTCAACAAAAATGTCACCAAAATGTCATAGTATAGTATGTCAACAAAAATGTCACCAAAATGTCATAGTATAGTATGTCAAAAAAAATCACAAAAACGTCATAGTATAGTATATCGATCAAAATGTCATAAAAATGTCATAGTATAGTATGTCAATTGAAATCTAATCAAAACGTCATAGTATAGTATGTCAATCAAAATGTCATAAAAATGTCACCGCAAAGTATGTCGATAAAAACATCACAAAAATGTCATAGTATAGTATGTCGAAAAAAAAAATCACAAAAATGTCATAGAATAGTATGTTGACACAAATGTCACCAAAATGTCATAGTATAGTATGTCGATCAAAATGTCATAAAAATGTCATAGTTTAGTATGTCAATAAAATNATGTCATAGTATAGTATGTCGATCAAAATGTCATAAAAATGTCATAGTTTAGTATGTCAATAAAATATCTCAAAAAATGTCATAGTATAGTATGTTGATAAAAACATAATAAAAATGTCATAGTTTAGTATGTCAATAAAATATCTCAAAAAATTTCATAGTATAGTATGTTGATAAAAACATAATAAAAATGTCATAGTTTAGTATGTCAATAAAATATCTCAAAAAATGTCATAGTATAGTATGCCGATAAAAACATCACAAAAATGTCATAGTATAGTATGTCGACAAAAATGTCACCAAAATGTCATGGTATAGTACGTCAATCAAAATGTCATAAAAATGTCATAGTTTAGTATGTCAATAAAAACATCACCAAAATGTCATAGTATAGCATGTCAATAAAAATGTCACAAAAATGTCATAGTATAGTATGTCAATTGAAATATCATCAAAATGTCATAATATAGTATGAATAAAAGAAACTAATAAAGCAGTACTGTAA